TGCCGAAAATAAACCAGCCCACATGAGAGGGTGTCAGTTGGGGCTTTCTTTGCCCATCTGTGCCTTTACCTGTCTGTCTGTCCTTACGTGCAGCCTCACTGTTCCGTCTTGGCGTGAGCTTGTTTGAGGTCCAACTTTGTGCTCCCTCCAGGAGTTTCCTAATACATTTGCAGATTAACCCAGCAGTGTCCCAGCCAGGTTGCTGGGGTGCAGCTGAGACTAGCATGCAGCCGGGATGCTGGACGCCCTCAGTGCTGCTCACATGAGCGTTTGACATGGTGCTCCATCCATTTAGGACTTCCTTTTCAGACCTTTTGAAAATTTCAGCATTAAAAAAAAGTGTACTCAGAAGAGTTGATGGCAGTTTTATTCATTGTGACTCAAAAAAGGAAATAACCCCAAAGCCCATCAATTTGGAAACACACAACAGTGGCTTATTCATCCTGTGAAATATTACTCAGTAGTAAAAAAAAGAGACTTCCACCGTTGCCAGTGCTCACATCTGTAATCCCAGCTAGTTGGGAGGCTGAGATCAGGAGGATTGAGATTCGAGGCCAGCCTGAGAAAATAGTTCGAGAGGGTCCATCTCCAAAATGAGAACAAAATTGGCTGGAAGTATTCTTCAAGGGGCAGAGCGCCTGCTTACAAATGCAAAGCCCTGAGTTCAAACCCCAGTTCCACCAAAACAAGACAGGGACTTTCTGCTGACACCAGCCACAGGCTTGCTGAGTCTCAGAAGCATCGCTCTGGGTGACAGAAACTACGGAAAGCCTGTGTACCGTGTAGATCCATTTATACTCCTGGAAACAGAGCCGAGATTGCCCGGAGCCGGACATCATGCAGAGGTGGCACGTCGTGGGCTGCTGGAAATGGCCTGGCCTTAATTGCAGGGTGCGCTGGCCGAAACCAGCCCAGTGTGCATCCGACAAGAAAAGAGCGCCTGGCGCGTGCCGATCAGGCCTCGGAGCCTGACTGAAAGGGGAGAGGCAGAGGTGCAGGGTGGTGGCATCGCGGCACTGGGACCACGGGGCGTCTGTAAGGAGAGCTCGGGCTGTCCCGATGCACGTGTCACATGGTGGCCCGCGTGCTTCTCCTGGTGTCCAGTGTTGGCTTCTCGCTGGTCTGGTCACTTAAACTGAACACACTAAGCCACAGTCAGTGGCAAAGCCAATGTGCATAGTAAGATTAGACTATGCAACCTTCTTTCCTTGCACTAACAGCGAGAGAGAGAGAGAGAGAGAGAGAGCGAGCGAGAGAGAGAGAGGTTTGCAGTCACATTGTCCAGAGAAACAGAGCCAGTAAGATGCGTGTGTGCAGAAAGACACTGACCATAAGAAGTTGGTTAACAGGATTATATGGGCCCGAGAAGTCCGGACTCAGGAGATCGGGGTGGGGGGGGTAAATTTCAGTCTGAAGGCCGAACTGAAGACACCAGGCAGAGCGAATCGCCCCATGTGACCTCTTTCTTCTGATCTGGTCTTGAGTGATTCAATGAAGCCCACTAGCACTGGGGAGGGATCTCAGATGTTAATCTCGTCCAGAAACCTCAGACACACTCAAATGATGTCTGACCAAGTCTCTGGGCAGCAAGGAGCCTAGTCAAGTTCACACAGAAAAGAAACTATCACACATTAATTGGCCTTGTGTGATAGTCTTCAGATCTGCTGTAAAAATGTGGACAGCAGGGCTGGGTGAGGTAGTGCATGTCTGTAATCACAGCCATTGGGAGGCAGACACAGGAAGACCTCAGTTTGAGGCAAAAGTTAGTGAGACCCCCCCCACGATCTCAAAAACAAGCCTGGCGTGCGTGTCCCTGTGTCTCTGCTCCTTGGGAGGCAGAGATGGCAAGATCTGAGACCAGCCCAGGCAAAAAAGCGAGACTCTATCTGAAAATCTAACAGCAAGAATAGTTCATGAGGGCTTGAGTTTAATCTCCAATAGTGGAAAAAAAAGTAAAAGAAAACTGGAAAAACTATGGACAAGAGCTTTAAAATTCTTAACACACACCTGCCTCTCTCCTGGCTTGGGTGCCTGGGCACGAGGGGCGCAGAGCCCCCACCGCCTGCCTTCACCGCCCACGGCGTGAAGGCCCACTTGGAGCTGTTTGGGGGCCGGTGGCTGTGCCTGCTTCCTGGGCTGCCCAGCCCACCAATGGCACCGTGCCCTGCGTGTCGGGACAGAGGAGTGTAGTGTCCCTACCCAGCACCGAGCAGCCTGAGCTCAGATGGCCCCTGCGCTGGGTCCAGGCCTGGCCCTGCGGGTGGCTGTGTGTGGGGCTCAGGACACAGCCTGGCAGAGCGGACTTCGCAGGCCAGTGTCGCTGGAGCAGAGCCCTGGCTGTCGCGGGCAGCCCTGGTTCTGCGTCCTTCCTCCGTCTGCCTCCACCAGCGGGCCTGACTGCTTTCGTGAAATAGCAGAGGCCGGCCTTTGTTTCCAAGTGGAAAGTCCCTCTCCGAGGCCAGTGTGGTCCCTGGCCGGCTCTGCGATGGGCAGATCTTGGCTGTGGCTCAGCCTGGCCACTCACCTGTCCCCAGAAGACAGCAAAATGTCACCCTGGCTTCAGGCTGGGGCAGCCCAGACATGGCCGAGACTCCAAGTTTCCCAGACTGCTTTTAAAAAGTAAAAGTGGCCTGGGCAAAGCTTCTGGCAACTTCTTCCCTCTTGCTGCTTGCAGCTTTGAGAACAGTGGCTTGCAGGAGCCTTAAAGTGGCAGTGTCCCCTGCAAAGGGCGCTGTCACTGAGCAGCCCGGCACCCAGTCTGCAGCTGGCTGTGTATGTGGCTTGTGGGAGCCTGGAACCACCCCAGGAGCGCCTTGACGTTCAGACTCGAGCCGAGGGCCGTCACCTTGATGTGAGGGACCTGGGCAGGGCCAGGCCGAGTGCCCTGATTGTATGTGGACTCCAGGCGCGACAGGCCAGGATCCGTCCACAGCTGAGTGGGTACACACAGGTCAGTGCCGGCCCAGAGGAGACCACGAGGACTTCTTTTCATGTCTTATTTCTATGGGAAACCAGAGAGGGCTGGCTTCCTTCTGGCTTCTCACACACACACGCCTGTCAGACATTTTTAAACACTGAATGTCGATTTAATAAGCACACAGGTAAAGTCAGCCCGGGGTCTTCTGGGAAGGCTGTGTGTGGGAAGGCCAGTGTGTGGGAAGGCCAGTGTGGCGTCAACAGCAGGAACTCAGTCCCCTCGGTGACAGCTCTGTGTGTCCTGACTGCCTGTGAATTTGCCTTAACACACGACCCTGATTTTTTTTTTTTTCAGTAGTGGGGTTTGAACTCAGGGCCTCGTGCTTGCCAGGCAGGTGCTCTACCACTGAGCCACACCCCCAGCCTGAAATTCTAAAATCTTTTAGAGGAAAAAAGAAACATGTGGTCAGTGCCTGGGATCTGATGGGCTCCGTGAGGTGTCTGCAGGGCCCGCCTGGCCTGGTTAAGGGTCATTTCCCCCTGCTTTTGTCCCCGAGTGTGACTAAGTGTGTTCAGCTGAGTTCGGTTCATGCTTGTTTTGTTTAACTTAATACCAGGACCCCAGGACCCAGTCCCCCCGCTCTCACCTGTGCCCACCACATTCCACCCTGGCCCCGTGTTCCTTGTTTTTTGCTGTTACTGCTGACGTCTTTGGTTTTTGTTTGCAGCACTGGGATTTGAACTCAGGGCTTACACCTTAAGCCACTCCGTTGGGTTTTTTCAAGACAGGGTCTCTCAAACTATTTTCCTGGGGCTGGATTCAAACCATGATCCTCCTGGTCTCTGCCTCCTGAGAGTGAGCCACCAGCACCTGGCTCAGCTTTTGTGTTTTTGCTGATTTTCTGTCTAGCGGTTCTCTCATCTCGCAGGAGTGGAGTGTCGATGTATCCTTTGGCTCTATAAACTTTTGCTTTACGTGTTTTGGGGTTCTGGTTTTGCGCATGTGCGTCTAGGATCACCGTGTCTTCTGGTGATTGCGTTCCTTCTACAATTGACTTCATCTGGTACTAACGGCCACTCCCGCTTTCTTTCAATTTCAATTAACGTTGGCATGACTAATGTTTCTGTCCCCAGTGGGGTGGAGAGGAGAACGGTGAGTGCCAACCAGCCCCACTCCAGCACTGCTCCACCCATCGACACGGGTGGGGCAGGGGTGGGGTGGATTTGGCTCCTTCCTGGGTCTTCCTGTGGCTAGGGAGGGGAAATCAGCCTGCATCTGACCTGCCTCCCACCGTCTCCCTCCCTCTGTTGATGCCCAGCCCCCAGCGGCCACCTTGACAGACCTGATGTTACAGTCTAGCCCCTGCTTCCATCGGTGGAGAACGGGGTCAGCTCCCCCACCTGTGCCTGGTGGGGAGTTCTGGGGGGACGAAGGGTGGACTGGAAACCCCGCTCCCGGGGTGGCCCTGAGGTAGTTTCAAAGAAGTCTTGTCTGTTGTCCGGCTGCTGGGACATCTGGCTTCAGTTGCAGGACTGGTGCCCCTCCTCAGGACTGCTGGTGGTGCTCAGAACCTGGGACGTGTCGCCTGGGTCACAGTCAGGGTCCCACCACCAGCTCCCCCGACGTGGGTACCAGGTCCTGCTAGCTGGGCGCTCCACCCTTCCCACATAGAGGGCAGACTGTGCGGGAGGCGAGTGCTTCTGCCTTCTCGGGGCCCTGGGCACCCCCGTTAGCCAGGACAGGGTCGTGTCTCTGCGGGGTGCTGTTGGTGCAGGTGCGCACAGCAGGAGGGGTTCCACAAAATTCCTCCACCTGGCCTTCCTCGCTGGGATCCGTGTGCCCCGAGTGACTGGCTTCTGTTGGGACTTCCTCTTTCTCCCTGTGCTCACCAGAGTCCCCGTCGCCTTGCTGGGCGTGCCCATGCATTGGGGGCCTTCTGAGCGGGACACAGAACCTGGAGTGACTACGAGGCCGGGGTGGTGAGGTGGAGGAGGGTCTGGGTGGCGGCCACCGAGGCCCTGCGGGTGTGAGAGCAGTGGCTCCGTGGTCACTCTAACCAGTGTGCTGTCGCCTCTCCGTCCAGGTCCACCCCCTGGCGCCATGTCCCGGCTGTCCGGCAGGCTACAGTGAGGTCCAGGCGCAGGCCGCCCCGCCAGGGCAGCATGACCCAGGCCCGGCTGTTCCGGCTGTGGCTGGCGCTGGGGTCCGCTCTCATGGTCCTGCTTATCATCGTGTACTGGGACAGCGTGGGGACGGCACACTTCTACCTGCACACGGCCCTGTCCCGGCCGCACGCCCCGGAGCCCCCCAGCTCGGGGCCGGGGGACAAGTTCGCGGGCGACGTGGATGAGCTTCTGGACAAGCTCCTGGGTTCTGGCGCCAAGCGGGGCCCTTCCAGGAAGACGGGGGCACAGCCCCCGGCGCCGAGCCTCATGGAGGAGAGCGTGCGGGGCTACGACTGGTCTCCCCGCGACGCCCCGCACAGCCCCGACCAGGGCCGCCAGCAGGCCGAGAGGCGCAGCGTGCTGCGGGGCTTCTGCGCCAACGCCAGCCTGGCCTTCCCCACCAAGGAGCGCTCGTTCGACGACATCCCCAACTACGAGCTCAACCACCTGATCGTGGACGACCGGCACGGCGTCATCTACTGCTACGTGCCCAAGGTGGCCTGCACCAACTGGAAGCGCGTGATGATCGTGCTGAGCGAGAGCCTGCTGGACGGCGGGGCGCCCTACCGCGACCCCCTGGACATCCCGCGCGAGCACGTGCACAACTCCAGCACGCACCTGACCTTCAACAAGTTCTGGCGGCGCTACGGCAAGCTGTCGCGCCACCTCATGAAGGTCAAGCTGCAGAAGTACACCAAGTTCCTGTTCGTGCGCGACCCCTTCGTGCGCCTCATCTCGGCCTTCCGCAGCAAGTTCGAGCTGCAGAACGAGGAGTTCTACCGCCGCTTCGCCAGGCCCATGCTGCAGCTCTACGCCAACCTCAGCAGCCCGCCCGCCTCGGCCAGCGAGGCCTTCGGGGCCGGGCTGCGCGTGTCCTTCGCCAACTTCATCCAGTACCTGCTGGACCCGCACACCGAGACGCTGGCGCCCTTCAACGAGCACTGGCGCCAGGTGTACCGCCTGTGCCACCCGTGCCAGATCGACTACGACTTCGTGGGCAAGCTGGAGACCCTGGACGAGGACGCCGCCCAGCTGCTGCGGCTGCTGCGGGTGGACGCGCGCCTGCACTTCCCGCCCAGCTACCGCAACCGGACGGCCAGCAGCTGGGAGGAGGGCTGGTTCGCGGGCATCCCCCTGGCCTGGCGGCGGCAGCTCTACAAGCTCTACGAGGCCGACTTCGTGCTCTTCGGCTACCCCAAGCCCGAAAACCTGCTGAGGGACTGAGCTCGGCCGGCCGAGGACGACGGGGCCCGGGGTCCCCTCCTGGCTCCCTTTCCCGCCCCGAGCGACGCCACCCCAGGCACCTCCAGCCGGAGGAGGCCAGCGAGCACCGCACACTCCGGATTTTTAAACCCTGGTTTTGCAGTCTGGACCTGTTTACCTGCAGCCTGCATCCCCCAGCACTGTGTTAATACGTTTTGTAAGATTAATATATTTCAGATATTTAATACGAAAAGAAGGGAGCTGGGGAGCACTTGGCACGCACGGCCCCTTGCTCTGTTGTGGTTCTTTGACACACGCCCATGGGGAGGGGCCCAGCGGTTATGGGGACACCAGACCTCACACACCCTGTAGGAGGGAGGCCTCGGGAGGTCGGTGACCTCGGTACAGGGCAGGAGCCTAAATTTGAAATCGGGCTGTTTTGCTCGGTCTTGCACCACTGTAACGAGATCCCTGAGTCTGCTGATGTTATGAAGAAAGGTGTGTGAGCTCACAGTCGGGAGGTTCCAGGGCCTCGCACCATTAGCAGCCCAGTGCTGGCAAGGTCCTCAGTGTAGGTGGCGGTGGCAGGTATGAGAGGCAGAGAGCACCAGACAGGAGGCCAGCGAGAGTGGGTCCTGCGGCTCCTTCTGAGAGGTCACCATTCAACCTCTGGTCCTCCCCTCGGCCCACCATGAGCACCGTGCTACCGGCACTCCCCCCCTGGGGACCCAGCCAAACATTCCCACACCACGGCACAGGCCTGGCTGGTGTTTGTAGAAGAGCAGCAGATAATCCTTTTGTTAAGTGAGGTTTGAGAAGAGGAAGCAGACCTTTGGGGCTTTCGGGAGATGGGTCACAGATAACCTGTCTTCTGATCAGAGTCAGAGCCAGCTTCTCACGTTGAATTGTGGCTGCGAAGATTCACAGCCCAGCCGAGTGCGGTCACGCACATCTGTAATCCCAGCTACTCGGGAGGTGGGGCAGAAGGATCACAGTCCAAGCCCAGCCTGGACAAAAGCACGAGACCCTATCTGAAAAACAAACTGAAAGCCAAAAGGGCTGGCGGAGCAGCTCAAGTGGTAGAACCCCCGCTTAGCAAGCGTGCGGCCTTGAGTTCAAACCCCAATACCGCCAAAAAAAAAATAATTGTAGCCAGCAGGCATAGTGTGGACTGGAGGCCATCTCCACACCGCCTTTCCCGCGGTATCCAGTGACAGCCTGGAGACACAGGTGCCACTTTGTTGCACACTGGCCCATTTAGCTCCAGTTGTGCCCTCTGGACACAACTGACCTTGAACGCTCAGTTCTGTGGGGCCCCGATTTCCAAGAGCCAGGGAACTCTTTAAGTCCTGGCCACAGCCTTTGGGCAGTCAACTTTTAATCCATGGTCAGTGTGGTGTCTGTGGTTGGTTTGATGATGGCCGTGCTGTGTTGTGGTATGCAGTCCTCTCTGTGGGGTTTTGTTGACCCCGTAGCTGGGCCACGGGGTGTGGGGCCTGTCAGTCGGGGACCGCGTACCGGAAGGGCCTGCACTGCCCTTGGACTCAGCTGCCTGGCATGGGCGCTGCTTCCCAAGAACTTGGCCCAGGCGTGACCAGGGCCTGGGCGTTTTCTCTGGTCCCCTTGGCTCTTCACATGTCACCTTCCTGTCAATTGCTGCTATCGTGTCCTCGGGCCTCCCGAGGGGTGTTTGATGTCCGTCCTGTCCTCTCACCATTGTCTGGGATGGATCTTGGGCCTTTGAAGACCTTGTCACTGTTTCTCGCTGTGTCTGGAGAGGACAGACAGACAAGGGCTGGCGTTGCTGTTCTTTGCCCAGCGAGGTTGGGTGTGTCCAATGGGGGACAGTGTGGGAAATGGGGGCTTCACCTGCTCCACTGCTCATGTGACCTGGGGGACAGAGGTGTGAGCACTGTGGCCATGGAACCCACCTGGAGCCTGAAGCCATGCAAGGCTGGGCGGAGTCCAGTCCGCAGCTCTTACGTGGTGGTGTCCATGCGCTCAGACGCAGACAGTGACACCCCTGTGACGTTTACGAGTGCTGATCGTTGCGGGAGCTGTGCTTGGCGTGCCGCGGCGCCGTGACTGTTTAGACAGGGAGCAGGAGGGGGAAGAGGAGCGGGGAGGTGTAGAGACCAGTCCTAAGACTCCTTCCCTCTGACTTCCATGCTTTTTTTGTGGGTACGGTATGGGATTTGAACTCAGGACCTCACGCTGGCCAGGCAGGTGCTCTACCACCGATCCTCACCCCAGCCCTTTGCCTTTAGTTTTCTTTTCTCATGGGGTCTCCTGCTTTTGCTCAGGGCCACCTTGGTCTGCGATGCTCCTACGTCCCGAGTAGCTGGGGTCACAGACATGAGCTGCCATGCCCAAGCCCTTGACCTCCGGACTTTCTCAGCCCTTCGAGGGGAGCTTACGATGACGACTTCATGGTCCCCGGGAGCAATGCACGCTCGTCCCCTGCGCGGGGGACATCAGGAGAGTTGTGTGCTGCTGGCAGAGCACTTGGGACAGTCTGTGCTCCTCGGTGGCCTGCCCTGGGCAACAGGCTCCCGAATATGACACATCCCATCCCAGTCCGTCCCCAGCTGGCCGGCCTCCTCATTCATAAGCTACGTGCTTACCCCACATTCCCGAGCCCCACAGGACACCAGGGTAGAACTGGAGCACAGTTAGTCTGAGTGTTCTGTTGTTTCTCCCGCAGGGAGATGCGTGGTGACTGCCATGGATTTTGCCTTCCTCCTGCTGGCCCAGGAGCTGTCCCTGTCCCCCAGGAGGGCCGAGTAAGGTCACATCTGATAGTCGCTCAACTGCTTCATGACCTACCCAGGACCGTTAGATCTAGGGTCCTTGACTGGCAATCCCGGACCCAGCTTTACCAGTTGGTGGGACAGAAGTCCAGAGAGCACATGACCACTGGCGGCCATGTAGAAGAGTCGTCCATGGGCTGTCAGAGCAGCTCAAGTGGTAGACACCTGCTTAGCAAGCGTGAGGCCCTGAGTTCAAACCCCAGTACTGCCAAAAAAAGAAACCCCAAAACAACCATCCAAAGACCAGTGGGGAGGGAGGGATGTAGGGCCACAGGACAGAGTGGCTCAGGACCCACCCACGTGGTCTGCGTACCTGAGGCTGGGTCCACCTGCCCTTGCCAGGTGTGGACCGGTAACTTTCCGCTGCCTAAGGTATGAGAACTGGGTTTGTGACCATCCAGGTGCAGGTTGCTGGCTCACTGGAGTTAATGTGTTGATAAACTAGCGTCAAGCACGTCCCCTCAACAGGGACACGCCTGTGACTGACTGCTCCGCTGGAGATTTATTGGCATTGTGAAGTATTGTATTTCTTGGTGGACCTGGGGTTTGAACTCAGGGCCTCACTAGACAGATGCTGGACCCCGACCCATGTGCCCAGACCTTTTGCTTTCCGTTTTGAGATAGGGTCTCATGCTTTTGTCAGGGCTGGCCTCAGACCTCGATTCTCCTATCTCTGCCTCCTGAGTAGCTGGTATTACAGGTGTGCACCACCACACCGGCCCTTAGAAATATTTTCTTACTCTGCCAAGATCCAGTGATTGGGACAAAGGTCTCCTGTTGGGATTCCAGTTCCAGCCAGCAGAAGCCTGGGAAATGGGGGGGGGGTCCCTTCAGAGTTATTTCCTCACTCAGCATTGAGAGGGTAGCTCAGCCGGCTGAAGGCATCACCACATTTGTCCTTGCAAGTGTCCTGCCCCAGCTGCCTGGTTCAGCAGGGTGTCCTGCTTGCCCTCTGGTGATGATGGAGTCGCTGCCTGACGAGACTCTGTGGGTGACGGACAGTGAGGAAGGGGCCTCCTTTTGCACGTCACTGGTTCTCAGTCTGGGAGTTTGGCTTTTGTTTTTTGGGTTTTTTTTTTTTTGGTGGCGCTGGATTTGAACTCGGTCTCACGCTTGCCAGGCAGGAGCTCTGCCATTTGAGCCACTCCACCAGCTCAGTTTGGGGTTTGAAGTGCCGGTCGTAAGCTGGCAGCTGGGAGACAGCGCACACGGGTGTGTGTGTGCAGATCTGTGCACAGGGGTGGACTGGCGTGCTTGGGGAGATGCACTGGGAAGCTTCAGCTCAGTCTTTTTTTTGTTGTTTTTTATTTATTTAGGCAGGGTGTGTTTGTGCAGCCCAGGCTGGCCTGGAACTCACGATCCCGCCTCTGTCTTCCAACTATTGGGATTACAGGTGTGCACCACGCCTGGCTTCAGCTCGGGTCTTTGGGCAGAGTTTGAACTTGTATTAGGGGATCCAACCTTTCCTGGCACTTTGGGGCTGGGCTCCCTCAGGCCGGCTCAGGCTGGAGTCTGGAGAGGGTTTTGGAGGGAAGAAGGGACTTCAGATGGGCAGGAAGAGGCTGCCAGGCCGAGAGGCGGGAGCCACAGGGTCTGTAAGTCAACCTTCTCACCTGTGGTCACCTTCTGTTCTGAAGGGAAGACACTGCCACGCAGACAGAAGGACGGTGTACATCAAAAGCCGACAGAAGCGCGTCACTGCTCTGCCCCACGGGATGCGCTGTGTCCAGCGGCCTGGACATTGCGGCACAATTCAGTCCCTTTTGGGTTTGTTTCGGGGCGGGGACCAGCGGTACTTCCATACCTTCATTTTTTGCAGTCCCGTGAGATCCCCCCGTTGTGAGCGGCCGTCAGTCAGTCTGTCCAAAAGCGCTTTGAAGTCCTGGCACGGAAAGGGGAGGAGTTAGCTTTTCTCCTTCATTGGCTGGCAGAGACACGAGCTCTGCTCGTCGTTCACAAGGCCCAAAGTGCAGACGCTGCGTGACCGTGGACCCAAGCTGACCCGGCTCATCTGAAGAATTCCCACAGGGGCCGGGTGTGGGGGTAACTCCTGTAATCCCAGCTCCTTGGGAAGTGGAGATTGGGATGGTCACAGTTTCAGGCCAACCAGGACCAAAAGTTCACAACACCCCATCTCTATCAATAAAAGCTGGGGTTGGTGGTGCACACCCAGCCAGGAGGATTGCAGTCCAGGCCAGCCCAGGCATAAATCTGAAAAAACAATACTCAGCAATAAAGGAGAATCATAGAGACCAGCCCAAGCAAAAAAGTTAGCAAGACCCCTGCTCAACCAGCAAGCTGTGCGTGGTGGCACACACCTGTGATCCCAGCTGCACGAGAGCCGCACCTCCAGTCCATTTTTCTCTGGTTATTTTGGAGATGGGGTCTTGATAACTATTTGCCCAGGCTGGCCTCCAACTGCGATCCTCCCCATCTCAGCCTCCCAAGTAGGTGGGATTATAGGTGTGAGCCACCAGTTTACAGAAGGTTCTTTGAAGGCCGTGGGCTGAGCTGGAAGGAATCTATGGGTCAGTGGTCCCGTTCTCCAGGTGGGGAAACTGACACC